GTCAGCGTGAGTGGCAAATGTCCACTATGCTTTAAGATCCATTGAATTAGAACCTCTGAGGAAAGGCTCCACACTCATATTTATATCAGATTTCCCAGCTAATCCTGATGCCCAGGTTTGGGAACCTACTCCTGGAAAGGTCAATGAGTCCCTCCCCCAAAGGATGAGGTCAGAGGAACTCAGGCTAAAAGGAAGATCCCTTCCTGTTCCAAGTATCTATAGCCCCAGGGAAACAAAGAGAGCTCGCTGACTGCCTGGAAGGCAAGAGGTGAACAGTTAACAAAATCCAACAAGTACAAGGACAAGAAGGGGCATCTCACTCAGCTCCAGGATGTCCCAGGAGAAGGAGGAGATGGCCAAGGAGGAGGCAGGTTAGTAAGGCAGAGGAGGAAGGGAGCACAATCCATTCCAGAGCATGTGTACATACAAAGTCTCATTTAATCCCCACCGCATGTTATTTTATTACTGATTTACAAGTGAGGAAACTGAGGCCAGATAGGCTAATTTGCTAGTTAGTCCCAGAGCTGGAACTTGAATTCGCCTCTCACCACCCCTCCAAACCAGGTGACTTCCAGGGCACCATGGCACTCCAGCTTGTATAGGAGTCTTTGTATTTCCCAGGGAGCCTAATAATACTAGGTATTCAGTAGGCATCCAATAAATGGTTGATGTCTGGACGACGGGGGGCGGCGGGGGAGGGAACACCTGAAGATATCCAGGACAGTGAGAGGGGGCGGCAATAGATCTCTTTTCTTTCAGACTGGAGTCTCTGACCCTGGGGCTACAGCCCCTGGGGAAAGGAAGCGGAAGAAAGGTGGGGAAACTACAATTCCCAGAAGACCATCAAGGAGTCGCCTCACGCATGCGTAGGCTCTACCCTTAATCCTGTGGCTTCTAGGGCCGCTGTTCTCACGCATGCGCTCTCGGATCAGTCTTTTCGGACCCGTTGCTTCTCCAAGCTAGAGTTGGTGGCTTGACCTCCTGCGACTTCGGGTTGCGATGCTGTCTTTCTCTTTACTCTGGGCCGCTCGGGTAAGAATGGGGCCCCGGAGTCTGGGTGATCAGTTGAAAGCAAGTTCCCCTCCTACCGTAATATCCATTCACAAACTATGGGCTTTTCCACGCACATGGTCTGGGTCTTCCGGGAGCGGACGCGCAACTAGGGAATCCTGAGACCCTCGGGTGCACGCGGGGTAAACGGGACCCCTCTCCATTCCGGTAATCAGAAGCCCCAGGGCCATGTGACCATCCATTTTACGTGGCAGCTGGGGAGGGAAGTGTAACGGTTGCCCGCGCCTCCTGTGCTGGCGAACAGCGGGATTCCCAGCCTGGACAAGCTGTCTTCCCTGCTAGCTCTGAGCCGTGCAGATGATGCAACCGAGCCCTACTGCTTGCATCAGGGATCCCGCGGCTCTGTGGGCTGGAAGGGCTGGAAGGAGGTGGAAAGGAGCCGGGCAGAGGACTGGGTGTGGTTTTTGGCTTCCCTGCCATCAGCCCCCCACCCCCACTCCCACCCCCACCATTCTCCCCCTGGGACTGCTAAAAATCTACCCTGGTTTTCAGAACGTTGGATGGCTACCTCCAATGTTCTGAAAGCCACCTCTAACTATGGTAAGCCTGTTCTCTTAATCCCTGCAACTTGGTCTCCTCCCCATGACTGGGATATCAGTTTATGGAGCCCCTACAGGGAAGACCCGTTTGTTCCAGTGAGTGGAGAGGTTCTGGAACCTCTAGCTTCTAGAACACAAACTTTGTCCTCTGGCTTTGCAGACTAGTTCAGGGGCCCAGGTGGAGGAAGATTCTGAGGGGAGGTGAATGGATGGATTCAGAACCACCCCCTGGACATTGATCTCAGCCTTGGCTCTAGAACTGGCTTTTGGAGGTGGGGGTGGCGAAAACCGGAACAGGCAGGCTGGACAGCTGGCTGTTGGGTTTGGAACCAGAGAGCCTGATACGCATGGCTGAAGGTTGTTGGAGACTGTTTGAACCCTTTTGTTTGACCCTGGCTCTTCCTCCCCTAGCCTCTGCGGAGATGTGGTCCGCTGGTCAGGATGGCCGCGCGGTGCCAGCACAGTGAAGCAGCCCAGACCCAGACTGGAGAAGCCACCAGGGGCTGGACAGGCCAGGAGAGTCTGTCAGACAGTGACCCTGAGATGTGGGAGCTGCTGCAGAGGGAGAAGGACAGGCAGTGTCGTGGCCTGGAACTCATTGCCTCAGAGGTGGGGTCTGGGGAGAGGGGCCAAGGCTTGGGCCGCCATGGGTACAGGAAGTAACAGGTCATCTTACTGCTCTTTCTCCAGATCTCCCTTTCAGACTCAGGGCCTTCCTGCTGGGCCTTCTCTCTCTCTCTTCTTACTGTTCTCTGAAGCAAAGGCAGAGCCAGTCTGGGTTATGGGATGGGGGCATTAGAGAGCTTCCAGAGCCTTCCGGGCCCCTGCAGTCAAGTCTGGTCCCTTCCCCCTCCCAAGAGAAAAGAGAAACCTGGAAGCACAGGTACCAGTGGACAGGTGGGCTTGCCGGGGACACCTGTCATGGCAGCTTGGTTTCTGAGGACGCTGCCTTTGGCCATGCCCCAAGCCTGACAAGGAACCTTGAATGAACAGCTTTCTGTAGAGCTCAGCTCCTTGCAGCCTGGGCTCGGCTCGGGCAGGGTGGGCTGTGGGAGTCTCTCAGAAGGGGCTCTGTACCTTCTGACATTGCCCCCACCCCTCACCCCAGAACTTCTGCAGCCGAGCTGCGCTGGAGGCCCTGGGGTCCTGTCTGAACAACAAGTACTCGGAGGGTTATCCTGGCAAGAGGTGAGGGCGAGGCACCAGCGGGCTGGAGGGCAGCCTCAGGGACGGTGCTCCCAGTGGGGGACGCCGGCCTGCACCCTCCCAGTGCCTTTAGAGGAGTAGCCTTCCCGCTCCTTTGCTACTTCAAGGGGGGTGGTGGGACCCTTTCTCTGTGCCCTGATATGCCCCCTCCCGTGGCAGATATTATGGGGGAGCAGAGGTAGTGGATGAAATCGAGCTGCTGTGTCAGCGCCGGGCCTTGGAGGCCTTTGACCTGGATCCTGCACAGTGGGGAGTCAATGTCCAGCCTTATTCGGGGTCCCCAGCCAATCTGGCTGCCTACACAGCCCTTCTGCAGCCGCACGACCGAATCATGGGGCTGGACCTGCCCGACGGTGGCCAGTGAGTATGGATGCGGTGGGTGGCTGATAGGCTCACTGGGCCATATGGGCATGAGAGAGGGGTTGTTTATTGCCATGGGCCATGCAGCTGGAACTGGCCTCTCCCTGTCCTTCAGTCTCAGTGCAGGGGAAGATAAGACCCCAGGAACCAGTGCTCAGCACAGAGTGGGCAGAGCAGTGAGGGTGGTGGACGCTAGGCGCGGTGTCAGAGGCAGGGCCTTCGGAGCAGGGCAGGAGAGGCGTGGGTCTTACTCCACTGAGAAGCCTTCTCACTTCCTCTCCTCCCCTCCCAGTCTCACCCATGGCTATATGTCTGATGTCAAGCGGATCTCAGCCACATCCATCTTCTTTGAGTCTATGCCCTATAAACTGAATGTGAGTGAGTGCTCTAGGGTCTGGGGAGGGAGCTGCTCAAGGCCTAGGAACCTCTCCTGGGAAAAGCTAGAGGCTGAAGCCCTGGGCAGCCTTTAAGGTCAAGGAGCAGAGTGAGCTGCACTGCTTCTTTTTAAGGACTTTAGCTCTTTGTCTGTCTGTCCAGCCCCAAACTGGCCTCATTGACTATGACCAGCTGGCAATCACTGCTCGGCTTTTCCGACCACGGCTCATCATAGCTGGTACCAGTGCCTATGCTCGCCTCATTGACTACGCCCGCATGAGGGAGGTTGGTGGAGGGCTGGGGTACCTGCCGCTGCCCAAGGGGTGGTGGGGAGATTTCGGAGGAGGGGCAGCCTTGCACAGGCCTGTCTGGACCCTCCCCAGACTGAGGCCTGTTTCTGTACCTGCCCAGGTGTGTGATGAGGTCAAGGCACACCTGCTGGCAGACATGGCCCACATCAGTGGCCTGGTGGCTGCCAAGGTGATCCCTTCACCTTTCAAGCACGCGGATGTTGTCACCACTACCACTCACAAGACCCTTCGAGGGGCCAGGTCAGGCTCCCCTGAGGTCAGGCCTTGCCTTTCCCTGCCTTCGTGCCTTATTCCCAGGGCACTGTTGGTCTGGATCAGAGAGGAACTCATTCTACCTAAAGAGTTCTACCCAGTCTGAGGATTCTCCTTTTCTTGCCCATGGTGGCAGTTCCCTGGCAGGGAGTTTGGGGGTGGGAGGTGGAAAGAAGGTTCTGTTCCCCTCAACCCCTGGAGCCAAGCACACCCAGCACAACTGAGGTGGCCTGAGAGTCCTCGGGGGCGCGGGCCAGCCGGCTTCCTCTGCTCTCCCCATCCCTTGCCCTTTCTTTTCAGCTTAGATTCTGACCACCCTCTTCCTACACAGGTCAGGACTCATCTTCTACCGGAAGGGGGTGCAGTCTGTGGACCCCAAGACTGGCCGGGAGATCCCTTATACGTTTGAGGACCGAATCAACTTTGCTGTGTTCCCGTCCCTGCAGGGGGGCCCCCACAACCATGCCATTGCTGCAGTGGCCGTGGCCCTAAAGCAGGTTGGGGAGCCTACCATTGTTGGGTGGTGGGCATCTGGATGCTCAGACCCTGTATCTTGCTAACTGAAAATGGAGCTGTTGGAAGGGAAGGGCCAGGAGGGGAGGCCTCAAGACTGGAGTCACAACTATGCTAGAGGTGGAGGAGTAGAAGGGGCAGGACTTGGGGTCCCAGGTGCTGCTGTCTCATCTCCAGGCCTGCACCCCCATGTTCCGGGAGTACTCCCTGCAGGTTCTGAAGAATGCTCGGGCCATGGCTGATGCCCTGCTAGATCGAGGCTATTCACTGGTGTCTGGTGAGCCAGGAGGGTGGGTGAGAGCCTCTGTGGCCTCAGGCAAAGGCCCAGGACTCACCATTCTCTGTTTACTCTTCCCGCCTTAGGTGGCACCGACAACCACCTAGTGCTGGTGGACCTGCGGCCCAAGGGCCTGGATGGGGCTCGGGCTGAGCGGGTGCTGGAGCTTGTATCCATCACAGCCAACAAGAACACCTGTCCTGGAGACCGAAGTGCCATCACACCAGGGGGTCTTCGGCTTGGTGAGACCTGGGGTTCCAGGGGGGAAGGGTGGCTGCGCCGGGGGCGTGGGTCATGCTACTCCTCGTCTGCCTCTCTCCCAGGGGCACCAGCCTTGACCTCTCGACAGTTTCGTGAGGATGACTTCCGGAGAGTTGTGGCATTTATAGATGAAGGGGTCAAGATTGGCTTGGATGTGAAGAGCAAGACCAGTGAGTAGGCTAGACGGCCCCCCAGCCCCTGCCAGCCACTTTACACTCACTATCTGCCCCCCCCCTCCATCTCACCGCCTTCCCTAAAGCTCTGACCACTTTTCCTCACCCCTCTCTAGCCAAACTACAGGATTTCAAATCCTTCCTGCTCAGTGACCCAGAAACAAGACAACGGCTGGCTGACCTCAGGCAGCGGGTGGAGCAGTTTGCCAGGGCTTTCCCCATGCCTGGTTTTGACGAGCACTGAAGGGACCAAGGAAATGAGGCTCAGAGACTGAAATTCTCCTTCCCTCTCCCTGAACCTTCCAGTGTTTTGCTGGTGGAGAGAAGGCCTCTCACTTAGCGGAAGAGCCAAATGTAGTTCCCTTCCCAGGATTTGTAGCTGAAATTCCTTTTTGTAAGAAAACTTAGAAGGAGGCTGGGGGCCGTCTGCCCTGACGGTTCCGTTATCTCAGTGTTATGGACGCCCTGTTCCTTCTTGGGGACAGGGGCGTCACCCTTGTGAGCCAGAGGAAGGGGTGGGTGGGCGCCCTCCTTTCTGTTTTTATCTAATAAACTGCTAACCCGACCCGCGCTTCTATTACTGTGGGAGCCCGCGGTCCCCGGGGCCAGGTGTGATTTGTCTCCTCCATGTGTGGTTCCTGGATTCCCTCCCACAACCACCGCAAGGACCCCGGGGGCTGCAGCCTCCTCTCTCTGTCTCTGATCAGAGCCGACACCAGACGTGATTAGCAGGCGCAGCAAATTCAATTTGTTAAATGAAATTGTATTTTGCCCATGGCTGCTTCTGTTTGATCCCAAGGGACAGAGGGGAGCTGAGCGAGGAGGGGTGGATGGCAGGGGGAGGCCCAGGTGCGAGGCTGGAGGGGGTTGCGGGTTGGCTCCTGAGTCGCAGGAAACCGCGCAGGCCCCTCCCTGGGCTGAGAGGTGCCACCGGAGCGGCTGGGCCGCAGGCAAGGAGCCCAGTCAGCTAGCGCAGCGCCGCCCTGGGAGGGCGCCCAGAGCCTGGCAAACGTGGGGCCTGCCGCGTCGCCTGGCACTCAGAGGCCCCTGCTTGCTCCTGGCTCACGTCTGCCACGCTCCTCACGTAGCCTGCGCCACACCCCGTCAGGCCCCTGCAGCCTTGGGCCTTTTGAGTCAACCCACTGGGGCCCCACCTCCTGACTCTCCCTCCCCCACCCCCCTGCGTGGGACTCCAGCTGAGGGTCAGGGGTGCTTCCGCTGCAGGGAGCGAGGGAAGAGGGTGGGGGTGGAGCTGCCTCCCCTCTGCGGCGTGGGAACCAGGCCTGTGTACGCAGGAGCTGGACAGGGTGGTGAGAGGCGCCCTGGAGGCTGGGGGCTGAGTGGCAGGGAGGAAGGAGGAGGCCGGCTGACGTCGGTGGAGGACAGGGACCCGTCCCAGCCAGGCTCAGAAGTCTGGCCGGTCCTTCTTCAGCTTCTTATAATCCGTGGAAACTGCAAGGAACTGGGGGGGGGGGGGGTTGCACTGAGTGCCCCAGGCCTCCCTTTAGCGGGGAGGCGCCAAGGGGTCTTCCCAGGGACCAAGAAAGGAGAGGATGGGGGTGCAACCCTAGAGCCCCCTAAAGGTACCTTGTACTGGTCGTTGGGGCTCAGGCGGTTCCAGGGCTCCGGGTTGTTCTTCCGGTCCCAGCTGTGGAGAGTGGGGGGAGGGGGTTTCTCTGTGGGAAGTAGGACCCTAGCGCCCAAGGTAACACCAGCATCTCTGCCTCCAGCCCCCACCCAGCCCTACCCTGGGGGGCGGGCCATTTTCCCCGAAAGGCTGACGGGAGGGGAGCATTAGCAGTTTGCCGGAGGAGAACTAGAAGG